CTATCTCTAAATCATCATCGCTGCTTTAGTGGTTGGTGTGTAAATTCAATTGATAGTGATATTAACCAGGCTTCGTTGGAAGCACATGAATATTTTCCTATCGTAGACTGCATTGTACTTCAAAATAGATCTTTAAATGTTCTTTTTGATGATGCATGTTATACCATTCTTCTTGAAATTTTGTTTCCAGCAAAGCAAACCACAAGATTTTCAGATTCAAAATGGCCACTATCAATCCATTTCAGGTCACTAATGACTAGCATATCTATCTTTATGCATTCCATTTCATTTTTGTTCACTTACAATTTTCTTAGATGCATACTTCGTACATTCCGTGTTCTGATTATTAATGGATGTTTGCAAATGTTTATCTTTGTTTTGAATTATGCTCCAGTCAATAAATGGAGGTCCCGAAAGCTTTACTCCATTCGTGCCACCGTGGTAAACTCTACTTTGAGGCAGCAACACTTCTCCAAGTGTATTTTCAGTGCCTTGCAACCGTAGGAGCTCATCTTCTGGTACTGCATCTGATAATGTTTTGCTGTTATTCATATAGGTTTTCAGTGGCTAAATATTCAGAAGTAGTCCACCTGTCCTTCTTTCAAGTCTTTCATAGTCTAGAAGTTCTGCTGAAACCTGTCCATCATGGGTGGCCCTGCTGATATTTCAAATACCACTAGTATAGTTTCCAGTATCACAGCAATAGGCAAGCCACCAAGTACAACAAACTGACAAACAGGTGGTATGAGTGGATGACAGACAAGACAAAATACAATTGTGATACATAAAATAACAAATACAATATTTTCTTTACCCACAACAGTTAACTATTCATTATAACCCAGAAAAAAATTACAACGCAAACATTTAAAAAGTGGCAAGAGTTTCAAAAGTATCAAAGTGAATAAATGCAAAAGCTATTTCACAATTCTAACACCTCTGGTTCCTCATATGTGAATGAAAACCAAACCAAACCATTGGTGTCATGTTGATGCCAACCCCATGTCCTGTAGTGTAGAATGGCTTCATAGAGTTACAGGGCTACCAATTTTATGGAAACAAATCATCAGGACTTTCTTCCATGGTGCTTTTTGGTGGATTTGAGTTGCCAGACATTTGGTTAGTAGTAAAGCACCCCTCAGTGACCTTTACATGTGAATGTTGTTGTTAAGTGCCATCAAGAAGGAAGAGTCATTTCCAACCCATAGCAACACAATATAGGGTTTTTGAGGAGCAGTTGATAGGTTTCAACCACTAACTTTGAAGTTAGCAGTCCAGTGCTTATCCTACAGTATCAGACCAGGAACTCTTATATGTGAATTGTTATTAAGTGCTATCGAGTTGATTCCAACTTATCGCAACCCTGTATAGGGTTTCCAAGGAGCAACTGTGCCGGGGTCCAGCCCCGACAAACTTTTAGGGGGGCTCACGAAGGGATGTGTGGAGTCGGCTGAAGAAAGAAATCACACGGAGTCGATGATTTTTGCTAAATTCTGATGATGATGATGATTTTACTTAATTTTTTCAGCTCCTTATATACCGTTAAAATCTCATAGTGTACAATGATCTCATACACAATCAATTTTTTTGAAGCATTGTGCAAATGATCTTGTTAAAATACATTAATCTTTCTGACATCCTGAAATGTCAGGTTAACCTTAAAGCATAATTCTAAATCTTAACTCCTATTTCTACCTTCACCTATTATTTTCTATAGATTCATTAATCACAACATGTACCTAAGACATTATTTGCTATGGTAACTGACAACACTGTTGTTTCTCATGATTGATTAAACAAGAAAAATAAGAGCATAAAAAAGCACTTAAAAGTTTTGTAGTTAAGAAGAAATGGAACAACTTCCTTATACTAACAACTTCTTTATACAAAACATCTAGTTAAATTTCTGCTTATGATCTATTATTATTCCCTTAGCCCTTAGTTGCATTTTTAGCTAATTTTCTAGAGGTTTTAATGTCCCTGACCAAAACTACACAGAATGTTGAAT